TGTACCAGTTTTAGGAATTATGTGGGACAGAATAGAAGATAACCTTTATATTGAAATTAAGACTGTATTGGTTTCGGATAATTTGTCTAAAAGAGAGGTTTTTGTCAGTAACGCAGACAATGTTTGATCGTTTGGGTTTCTTGACACCTGTTTTATTGCCTGCAAAGTTACTGCTACAGGAAATTTGGGCGATAAAAGCAGACTGGGATACTCCATTACCAGATAGTATCAAAAGTAAATTTTCGAGGTGGTATAATAAATTACAAATTTTGAATAAGTTGAGAATACCGCGACGTATAGGTTTTGGAGATAGAAGTTCCTGGACACTTCATGTATTTTGTGATGCTAGCCAGCATGCTTATGCCACGGTAATATTTTTGAGATGCGAAACTAAAGAAGAAAACATTAGTCAGTTTTGTAATGGCTAAGTCAAGAGTCGCACCCTTAAAAGAACTTACTATTCCCCGTCTAGAACTTATGGCCTGTCTTTTGGGCGTGCGTCTTTCCAAATATGTGACAGAAGCTCTTACATTAGATGACATCCCGAAATATTTTTGGACCGATTCCACCACGGCCATATCTTGGATTCAAAGAAATGATGCGTGGGGGACTTTTGTGGGCAATCGCGTGAAGGAAATTTGCGCTTTCACTAAAGCAAATCAGTGGTCATATGTACAGGGTCATTCTAACCCAGCTGATTTACCTTCTCGTGGTTGTTCCCCTCTTCAGTTTTTCGAATTAAATTGGTGGAGAGGGCCTGTTTGGCTCAAAGACCCTGCTAGAGATAGCTGGCCAAAATTAGAGGTTAAGCCAAATGAAACTTTAGTTTTTTCAGAGCGCAGGAAAGGCATAAATTTAAATGTAAATCTTAGTATAACTACAAAAGCGGATAAAGTTAAGTGGTGTGAGAAGTTCTCTAAATTTTCAAAAATGTTAAGAGTTTTAGGTTGGATAAAGAGATTTATCAAAAATTGTCAAAAGAAAATTGTAAATAAAGAGCCTTTTCTGTCTGCTTCCGAGATAAAGGAATCTAAAATTATACTTCTTTCACTTGTTCAGGGGGAGAGTTTTCCAGAGACTGGAGACTCCATCAATGGTCTTTTGACCGTACGAGATCAGAGTGGCTTAAGAAGAGTAAAAACGAAAATCACCGAACGAGATGATTCTTATGCATTCCGGTACCCGATTTTATTACCTTCTAAGCATTATATTGTTGACTGTTTAATTAGAGATTACCATTTAAAGCATTCTCATGCCGGCGTACAAGCATTAACTGTTATAATTAGAGAAGAATTCTGGATCATTGGTGCAAGACGCCGAATTAGATCGGTGGTGAAACAGTGCGTCCGTTGTAAACGATTTTCAGCAAAACCTCCAACTACTGCACCCATTCAATTACCATTAGACAGAGTTCGAGATGCTTTCGCATTTGAAGTTACCGGCATAGATTTATGTGGCCCTCTGATTCTCAAAAATAAAAACAAAACCTGGGTAGTACTGTTTACGTGTGCTGTATATATATAGATGTGTACATTTGGAACTAGTGACATCCGTAAGTACCGAATGCTTCATTCAAGCGTTTCGTCGGTTCATAGCCAGAAGAGGTCGGCCATCTACAGTTTATTCAGACAACGGCACAAATTTCGTCGGTACATCTGCATTGCTGAAAAAGGTTGACTGGGTAAAGGTAATTGCTCAGGAAACTTTGCATCCCATCACTTGGAAGTTCATTCCGCCCACTGCTGCTTGGTGGGGCGGATGGTGGGAGCGTCTAATCCGCACAGCCAAGAATTTGATTGTGAGAGTCTTAGGACAAGCTGCAGTCAATTACGAAGAGTTACTCACCGTCATCTGTGATGTGGAAGCCGTAATAAACTGTCGACCACTTACTTATGTGTCAAATGACTCTGAGGATCTTCTACCATTAACGCCTTCCATGTTCTTACAGGACATTAAGGTTTCAGGTACAGCAGATTTGGATGCTTTAGATCGAAATAAACTCTTGGCTCGTCAGCGTTTCTGCCAGGAACTTCGAGAACAATTTCGTAGCCGTTTCCGCAAGGAGTACCTTGGACAGTTAGTACAAAAGCATGGACAGACGGACTGTGAATTAAAAGTTGGAGACATCGTGCTAATAGGTTGTGAGAACCTTAAAAGAGTGAACTGGCCAATTGCTCGTGTCCAAGAACTTTGTACAAGCAGAGATGGACGTGTAAGAGTTGTAAAAGTGAAAACTAGAAATGGCATACTGATTCGTCCTGTACGTAAACTGTACCCTCTAGAAGTGTGTTCCTGTACTAAGGATACCATTATTTGATTTTTGATTTTCCTTCTGAAAATCAAAAAGGTGGGAGTGTTGTGAAACTGATTAGCTGTATCTAACAAATATTAAAAACAAATCTCTTCATTTTGATGTACGAGACACAGATGGCGTTGGCTGTCATTGAAGTAGGAAGAAAAAAAGGGTTTTCCCCTTTCGACCTCGTGACGTGAACTGATTAAGATGTGTAATAACTTTCGGGGCCAGAAAAATTTCCCGACAATTGTTAAAAAATGTATATATTTTGTAGTATAGAGAGAATATAATTAGATAAATCAACTTCTTAGAGTTTTTATTACAGATTCAACATCACACTACCCAGGTAAGTGAGCAAGTTTTGTCTTTAGTTTTTCTGGATTGCTCGGTATCTGGGATGAGTGAAGGAAGTATTTTTATTTTAATGATATTTAATGATAAGACTATGTTTTAGTAATAACACCGACAATAAAGCCTCATTCCAACTCCGTTAGTTGTTGGTATAAGGCGTATGACCACTAATTAAATGTTCATCGCAGAGGACAATAAATAGATTTCAACTTTAGTCCTTTATATACATGGAACAAGAGCCCAGTTTTCATTCCACGTATGTGAAATCGGTTTGTAAGTCTAATCATTTGCATGTCTTACCTCACTTTACATTTCATATCAGTTTGGTTCAATTTGCATAATTCTTTCATGGTGTTTCAATTTTCACAAACATTTTAGTGTAGAATAATCTAGATATTTCCTGTTGATAGATGCTGCTCACGTGCTCAGCAAACGTTTTTAATGACTCAATAATATTCACCTAACTTAACAAACATATCCGCCTGGGTGTTTATAAGATGTGAAGTCACAAGTGGCATTAACAATGTCATATCCCAGTATATCCCTAGACTTTTTTGACCATTTGGATGCAGAGTTTTTGGAAATACTGTCGAGACAACTATTGGTATATTTAAATGTGATTTGCTTGCACTAGTGACTTTGAAAGTATGGCATAACAATTTTTAGAGAGACTTAGGATGTTCTCAGTTAGTTTTAGTTAAGTGAAACGTAGTAATTGATTTTCATGATATGAGCTGGTATTTTTGGATAGCTTTAGTCTAGACCAGGAGTTCTCAACCAGGGAAAAAGTTCCCCTACGGAAGAATTTCACAGTTTTGGGGGGTTGCGGACAGCCTTTTATTTAACTGATAAGTAATTAGTTTTATTTTATGAATATAAGAAACATTTTTATTCTGTGGTATTACTAAATATTTTCTATACTATTTCAAGTTTAATTTACAGAGCACATTAAAAGTAATCTAAATTTAAATAAGTACGTATGCATTTTTCGTGTTTTGAGAAGGAGGGGGGAATCATCGTCTAAGCAAAAATGAAAGTGCTGCATCAAGCAAAAATGATTGAGAGTCACTGTTCTAGATATTTCCTGTTGATAGATGCTGCTCACGTGCTCAGCAAACGTTTTTAATGACTCAATAATATTCACCTAACTTAACAAACATATCCGCCTGAGTATTTATAAGATGTGAAGTCACAAGTGGCATTAACAATGTCATATCCCAGTATATCCCTAGACATCTAGCTTTATCCCGTTGAAAGTGTAGGAATATAAACAGGATTTAAAATTTATTTTACCACATCCCCAGAGCACTCTGATATAACCCCTTAACTTCCTACATAAATGCATCTAAGTTTTTAATAGCATGTCCTTGTATATCCAAGAAAAAAATCCTCTCTAGGTTTCTTTGATATTGTACGGGGGTACTATGTGAGCTTAAAAACCTACTTGGTCATCTACCAGAAATATTTTCAGGTCTTCTTCACTAATTGCTAGTGGACAGTAAGGGGCATTGTAAGAATTTATGCGATTTTTAGATTGTTTAAAAAGAACTTCAGTTTAATAAATCGTGATTTTTTAAATCGTGATTTAAATATTAACAATATTTTCATTGCTTCTAAACAACCAGTATTCTAAAGTGTTCTTCTCATCTTATGTTTACTACTTTGTAAAGCAGACAGAAGTATTTAAAAACTTTCGAAGAATAATATGCTGCATAGCTTGTAGCATTTTTGATAATCTTTTAAGCTTTCAATGTAAAGAAAAATTTTATATCTTTTATATAAAAAGTCCACAGGTACTGGTATAAGTGGGCGAGACACCAGAATTTTACCATAGGTGTATTTAGAAAAACCACAATAAAACATTACATCCCTTTGTTTTATAATTTAAAGTTCTGGATAATGAAAGTAACGAAGTCTTTAAAAATTTGTGAATATCTTCCCAGTAATGGGTTTTTAATAGTACTCACACGAAATTTTGTATCTTTTAAATATGCATTGAAAATAACCCCAAACTTGTAACATTTCAATGATTTGCAACATTCCTTAGTTTCATGATGCTACTCTTTTTTATGTTTGTCTATTATCCAATAGCATGCCAAGAAACCAAAAATTCTGTATCACTGTAGGTATAAACAATCATTGACTTCAAAAGCATTTTTAAAGATGGCATTAGAAATCGCGACAATTTTAGGAAACCAAAAAATCACAATAAAATTTTGTATGCACTGTCCTTAATGTTGACTCTTAATATTGTAAATATGGAATGATTTAAAACTATTAAAACATCATTTTTTACATTTCTATTCATTCCAAGGATGAGCCCATCTCTCTCTCTCTTTTATTTTTTATCTAGGTGCTTTTCTGAACTCGGCCGAATGGGTGGTGTCCAATCGATGTCATTAGAATCACCTAGCTGCATGAAGAAAGGCGTAATTATGCACGAAATGATGCATGCATTGGGTTTCTTACACGAGCAATCTCGTCCTGACAGGGACGACTACATCCAAGTTCTTTGGGATAATATAATTCGAGGTAAGTTGCAAATTACAAACCCGTTATCTAACTCAGTTTAAGATCTCATTTCATTTTTAATATTTTAAGTTTATTTAGAAACAAACTATATGTGCTACATCGGTAAAATCTAAAGCATAAGAATCCGTAAATTTTACAGTTATTCTTTCTCTTCTTTACCTAATAAAATGAAGCTTACCGCATTCAGTTTCTACAAGCATTTACTGAATTGTTTGAATAATGCTTTACAAAACGAAGCTAAAGAAGAATGGATATTTTAGAAAACACTTTTTACATATTTCGATAAAAAATACATATTTTATTATTTCAAGAATATTGGTCCATTTTCTTTCATAAAATTTTCTGCGAACATGAAAATTTATTTCAAAGTGTTTTTCCCAAGTGGTATGTCTAAATCCGGATGTGTAACCTGTAAATATTTCGATATTAATCTACATTATTGGCTAGAGCAGTTGTTAAGAAACATAGTATTTTTAAAGAATAGAAATATACTTAAGGGCGTCTTTTCATTTTCACATTGCTCCTGTTTTTAGATATTCGTTGTTTGGACTTACTTTAAAGATCTGTAAAGAATGGAATGCATTGAATACAGGCAGACCTCCGTTAATTAACTTTCATTGATATCAATTCATCAAAAAAGGTAATTATCTGCCTACAAATTTTCATAGTGCTCTGTTTTTAAGATACATTTTATATAAAATTTAACAAATCTTTTCTATAAATGAAGCTGAAATAGTTAAAAGTTGAAATATATTTGAAATTATATCAAAATATTCTAAATTTGAAATATATTTGCATTACATAAAAATAGCATTATGGCAACATAAACATGTGATATTCAAAAGTTTGCATGTCACTAAAATGTCTTGTTAGAGAAATCAACTAATCGGTTATCAACGAAGTAAAATGGTGCAAAAATTCAGGGAATAAATTAGCAAATAAGATTTTGTAAAGAAAGTAGATGAAGGTGATAATATTCTCTAACTGCGATTTGCGATGTTCAAATACATAAAATGTATCACATTTCCATTATTTACGAAGGGAATACAAAAGGGTTCGCTTATCTGTGAATAATTAAGTCTGATCCCTTCAGCTATAGTTCTGAGGAATGAACTCATCAGTTATAATTAGGTTTATTATGTAGAGCAAAAGTGACAAATTGCGGCCTTCATGCAGCCACTGATAATATTAGAAAAAATTTTTATTACTGACTGTAAACTACCTGATGCGGGCTTATTTTCGTGCAGTTTTTTTCCTAAAAACAGTGCTTTGTATAGTCTTAAGAGAGCTATCCAAAGTTAGTTGAAGAGACCGACAATGGCATCAAGAGACTGTAGTAACGAGAAAAATATTTCGACCACGCTGTTTTAGTAGGAAAACTGCATCAGTGCTTGAAAGTTTTTCCATTATGTAGACACAAAAATTATCGCAAAGAAACCAAATCACTGAAAACAATCTTTAGGACTTAATGGAAAAACCAACGTCATTTTAAAACTGAAGAGGTCCGTAGAATTTTAGTAAATTTATCTTTCGTTTCCCACTGCGAAGTTTTTAAATTTAAGAGCATAAATATTTGCTGAGAATATACACAAAATGATAGCCTGAATTTTTGTGCATGATCTTATATTTACGTTTTATGTTATATTATTATATGTCATATAATAATTGCTTACAAAAATAATGAATAATTGCAAAAATAATAAAATCTGAAAACTTATCTCTACACTCTGGAAATAACCAGTGTACATAACATTTTACTTCTGAATTCAGGCCAAGGAAATTATGCACCAGCATGCACCCTAAGTTGGCTTTCGTATGTACAGAAGTTAGCAACCTCTTACATATATAAAGACTTTTGGAATATGAGGAACTTAAATTTCTTCATAAAATATATGATGAATTTAAGTATTTTCAAAAATACGTGAGGTACTTAAATACCTTTAAATAATACACGAAGAGGGATTTAAATAAGTTTAAATGAAGCGCGAGGAATAATTTAAATATCTTCTACTGGTGCATGCAAAATTTGGCCTTTATGACGAAAATTGTTTTTGACAACTGGAGTGTATAGTTAGTTATACACATGGTGGCAATTGTGGGAAAATACTAACCTGCTTATGTAGCAGAAAAAATCTTCACAGAAATGGAATGTATCAAGTATTAATTAGAGATGAGGCATCTTTTCAATACGCTATCTTAATATTTTTATTTTTATTACGAATCAATTTCAGTTATGGATAGTTTTTTAATTGCCAGTATTTATAACTTTTAGATTTTTGAGGTAAGATGAAAGGCATTACGTCTTCATTACATTTTTTCTTGTTGCTTTCATTAAAAAAAATGTTCTTTATGAGATATACTTGATAAAGTACAGAAAGATTTTCTGCTTTTCATCACATGATCTATCATATTGCGCTACTATTTAACGAAATTTTTAAAATTGCGTTACAACATTTAATATGCACTTAATGGAAGTTTCTCTGAACACATTTAGTTTACCACCCCTAAAAACTAAAACTTTACTTAATAATTATAAACCATTTTTAATTTTAAGTAAAAATTAATTATATTTAATGTGGCTAGTAATCGGGTTGAATACTACCAGACACCCACTTGTATTTAGCCTCTCCATGCGTGCGGCTTTCTTGGTTTTCTTTCTTCTTGTGACGCTGGTCACTCCCCTTTCCCATTTCCGACGCCTTCTCACTCCCCGAACAGACTGTTCAACGTCTTGTGCCCTACTGGAATACTTAGTCAGAGAGCCGGCAACGTCGCGTGCTCTACAGCGACAGCCCGGCATAAGAGTATATATATATATATAAAAGGGGGGAAGAAAAAAATTCGGGTTTGCCAAATAAGACCTACCAATGTTAAACACAAATAACTTTTTTATTTTTTGATGTAATTATTTTTTCTTTTTGTAGATTATAATTGAATTCTTGGAAATTATTATGGAACCATACAATACAAAACAACGCATTAAAACTATGGCGTTTTCTATTCTTGTCAACGGTCAATTGTTACGACGCAGCGTAAATATCGGCAATATTTTAATTCAAAATCAGCTCCCACAGCCTTCATGATTAAGAGTTTGGTTAACCTTTATTCGTTTTATTAGCCACACAAATTGAATTTTTAAACAATGTTTTGATGTCGGATGAAGCGTATTTCCATTTAAATGGTTATGTCAACAAACAATGGAAAGCGCGTTAAAAAGAGCCAATCTTTGTATCGAGAAAAATACTGGACATTTCTCTGATGTCATATTTCATACATAATTTCCATAAAATATATTTAATGTATAAAAAAATTAATCAAAATAAATGATTATTACAAGAGTTATCCGTGTTTAACATTAGTAGGTCTCATTTGGCCCACCCTATACTTTGATTGCACAATAAGTGAGAACCGACATAACAAAAAACATAAAAAATACTCTTTTATTTTCACAGAAAGAAAGTGAAACACTGTAAAAAGTTTGTTGCAGCAATATGCAAATTTTACGGTATCTTTTAGATCAACAGGTTATGAGCAAGTTATTCAAATTTTTGGTCAATTACATAATCTATCAGCTTGATACAACAGGAAATCTAGCCTATAAGAACAGCATTTGAGGATTTCTTTAAAAGGTACGGATTTTTTTTCCAGTTATTTCTCTATCAGGACTAAAACAGAGGGAATAGCTTCTAGACCAGAGGTGGCCAAACATTTTGGAAAGAGTGCCACTACCTGGGGAAAAAAATTATCCATGCTGCTTCCAACTTTCCCAACGTACTAAAAAGTATAAAATGGTGAAAAATTTTATTTATAGGCTGATTATGTGATTTTTAAGCAAATAGAAAGTTTTTTTTTTTTTTTTTTTTTTTTTTTTTTTTACGTAAGTCTGAGTAGTGGAGATATAAAAAATTGCATAATTAAATAAAACAAAAGTTTTTTTCTTTGGTTTTAGTTTCAGTGACGGGTTTTTATCATTTATTGGCCACTACTAAGGCCGGAAGTGGTGGTCTCTTTGTTATGGAGGCACTTAATAGGTGGGTCACCATTGCCTCCTATGAATTCTTCTGGACGGCGCATAAAACAAACGTACAAAATATGTCTTATTGTTAACAAACATTTTTAAAGGTTCAGTCAGTTATGTATAAGATAAAAATGAATAACTTGAAATATTCAACTCTAAATAATTATTTAATTTTCAGTTCTTAATTAATGTAGTTTTTGAATTGGTAATTATTTTATCAAATCATCTTATCTTAAGATTAATTCTTGAAGATGCTAACAAAATTAGGTCTTTAAAGTGTATATCAGTTAATTTTGAACAATATTTTGATCTTATGTTCATAATAGAAAACATTTGTTTAGAAACATATGTTGATCCAAAGTTACAACAATATCTGAAAACCAGGTCGTGTAAATTTCGAAAATTGCTTGTTGGTACAAATTTCCAAAATATAATTTGCATCATTTGTAGCAGAAAAAAGCTCCGTATATTTAAGACACAATAACACGCCGAATAAATACTAATTCAGAAGTCAAACAACAAAAATCAGCGTTATATTTACCAAATTTTCACAGGACTAGTTTCGATGGTTTTACCGAACCACCATCTTCAGCTGCAAAACCGCAAATGAACCAGATAGGAAATAATGATTAGATAAGATAAGAAGCTCCATATATTTGCTTTTCAGTGTACTATGGTGCTGTAGGTCAATAATTTCGATTTGGACTTCAGGTGGATAACAATTAACGTCTTGAAGGGAAACTGAAAAAAAGATTTGTGAAGACGTAAAGTCTCGTCTTTTTAGCATAGATGGGAATTCCTAGACCTGAGGGATTTATCACTATGTCCTGCAAAATACCATAGAGACAGGAAAAAGGGTGTAAAGGATCCTTTTATTTAACACAAATAACAGATGGGACTGCTATTGCTTACAGAACAGCCAGCATTTATGGCTTAAAACAAACGTAACGAATTTGACTTAACTAAGCCAATGTAAGTTAGCTCATTGACAGAGATACGCGAACAAAGAACGCGCAAGCTGGCTGTGACCTAAAATCGGCGTGACAAGACTAATGACGAGAATAACGCAACGCCGCAGAATGCTGCTTTCAAGCGAATCAATTAAAAGCGTGATCTTCAGCACAAGGAACACGTTCTGCTTCTAACTTCTAAAACCTTCATTTGAATACTATCTCCTTTCTACCTCATCTGAATACACGCAAACTAGAAATTTACATTTTTGCAGGAAAATGGGAAACTAGAAAGACAAAGCACATTAACATAAAATGACTGATTGGTAAATTTAAATGAATCCTTATAAAGACATCAGGATTTTTGTATCATCTTGAAAATCATCAAACCTACCATTGAGTGAACCCAGCAAAATGGATATTAAATTTTTAAATCTATCATAGTCTGGAGCGTTATTGACTTTGGCTGGTAGTTCTTACATTAATGTGAAATGTGTAAATCGGGAAGAAAAGCAAACGTTTGTTTACAAAGAAGATACAAGACTAAGTACATTAGTAAAAAATACAATATTTTCCTTGTAATCTTAAATTTAAATTATTTAAATGTCCCATAATATTGGTGAGAAGATCTAAATCCCACAGCCAAGCTGCATTCTTGAGTAAGCACTCACTGAGCAGTTCATTGTTTTCTTTTCAGATATTTTAAGACACATTCCCTGAAATTCCAAAATCTCACGAGCGCACTTCCTTTTAAAAGCCAATGTACACTACAATAAAGAAGTAGTTCGCTATCCTCTTCCGTTTTTTCCGGAAAAAAAGCTCACGGAATCGTAGTCAATTCAGAGCTCGAGCTCGTACTTTGTTGATACAGCGCGTCACAGGGCCAAGAACAGAAGACAAGTTTAAGTCTTTGGCACAAAGAGCTTCTTGATGGATAATACAATAATATTTAAAACCATTTCCTGAATAATTTTCAAGCAATGTAACAAAACCTTTTTATCCCACCAACCATGCAAGACGCTCCTTCTGTGCAAACACTGCCTAATTTTGTCCACTCTACTTTATTAACTTCAATTCCTCACTTGTAGTTAAAACTAGTTGGTGCAAATCAAAAAGTCCTTCCACAATATCAAAATTATCGTTCGTGTAACATACAAATCTGCTTAATTGCGCATTGTCTGTGATATCACAGCTATTATCTTAAGTTGATGAAAAGTATTTGTAGCTTTATAATCCAGAGACAATTTGTGTGCCAACATCCCGGCCGATGTCATTTACACTACGCCTGACATTTCTAGACAAAGCTATTTTATCAGCTATATTTTTCCCTTTATATCATCGATATTTTGGGCAAATATTAAAAGCTTATGTTTTATTATCTCTTCTCTGCCAAAATCTTTTTATTTTTTTTTCTAACAACAGAGAACGTTCATACGAAGCCTTCACCGTTTTTCCATTGGAGAAACGATCGCCCGCCGGTTAGAACTTTTTTTTGAGCATTGGCAATTAGCAGCAATTGCCAACGCTGTGACATGATCTACGGCATTGCGGGGTATATTTAAAAACTCAGTGAATTGTTTTCTTGCCGATTAAACGAATGCCATACAAAACGGCTGCCGTTGAAATCATCGCATTTCTCCTATATATAGTATGGCTCTTGTCGCCGGAGTAGTGGAGCCCCCCGGTTAGCTGGGTAATGTCCCACTGCGACGGGCTAGCCCATGCGACTGGCAGGTAGCAAATTAATGACCAGTGCTGCCTGGTGAATTCCAGGTGGTGCGCCGGCCCCTCCGAGGTGCCAGAGCCAAAGAATCTCTAATCTCCTTAGAGATTCTTTGCCAGAGCGGAGGTTGAACCTCCGCCCCTGGTCCTGAGGGAGTGTCGGATTTGTAGTGCAGACCATTAGTCACGCGAAACAGAGCAACCCATAGTTGATAGTTCTCGTGTATATGCTCTGGTAGTGTGATGTTTAGCGCATCTGATGTGATGTTTAGCAATTGGAGATCCACGTTTCGATTCTCGGTGAAGGTTCAGTCGAGTTTTCACATTTTTCCTTCAGAAAGCCTAATACTCTATACATTACTACTTACTATTTATAACATAATTTTAACCGCTGGAAATGTTTAACTGTTTTAAATTAAAACAATTTTTAAGACCGTATTTCTTTCTGTGCGTGCTAAATTTTCTTTCTAAACTGAAAGATCTTAAATATTGATTGAGTATTTGAATCATAGAAAAGCGCTTTTAAGAGAAGGGAAGCCTTCGTGTAAACCTTTCCACTAGAAAATGGCTCACATTCACGTCACAAGTGGGAAAAGCTACAAAACGGTCATGCATTTACCCCGTTCTTCCGGATCGGAGCCTGGATCGAATTACTAGTGTAAGAAAAAAAGCAGAAAAAGCAAGCGGAAGACTAATGCTATTTTATTTCTCTCTTATCGAAAACAATTCTGATCAAATTTATCCTATAACTACTTCAAATGTTTCATAATAAGTATTTCATTTATGATGTATGAAATGAAAGTTTATTATTCATGACAGCAATACTTATTGCATCTTAACTTACTAAACGACAGCCATTAATTAAGCAAGGATATCTTGCTACAGATTTTTAACGAAATGCATTGATTTTATTTAAATGCATTCGCTATTTTTTGCATTAAATAAAAAAATTGATGTAAAAAGGCGCTCAGATGTTCAAATTAGAGAATTATCACTGTAACTGGAAATTTTTACGCATTATTCAATTAACGAAAAAATTCTTTCCGCAAGCAACTATATTGCAATATACTACTCGTACTAATCTTTAAAACTGAATGTTTCGAACTAGTAGGTAAGCTTAAGTTTTAATTGTATTATTACACATAAGCATTTGCACATTAATAATTTGTGAAGCAGCAAGCTTCCCGATCTGTCTCAGAAGGCAATTTGATACATATCAAACTTATAAAGGACTAGGTGTATTTTTGGATTTGAATTTAGTAAGCTTTCTGAAAATAAACACTGCTCTTCAAATCAAAATCTAAACTAGTTAACGTATGCGAATGGTGAATAATGCACAGCAAGTCTGTTCAAGCAAATTTTACTCATTGCTTTTTTTTTTTCTTTTTAAGGAATGGAGCCTAATTTTCAAAAATTATCTCCTTTGGAACTGAATGATCTCGGTCTGGATTACGACTATCGTTCGATCATGCATTACACGGCTCATATGTTCGCTGTTGATAGGTCGCATCCTACAATAGAGCCTGTCAACCATAGAGAATCACTGGATAACCTTGGCTATGGACAGAAATATGGTGTCTTTACGGACTTAGATCTTCAGAAAATAAACAAGTTTTATGAATGCGACAAAAAGTAACTGAACTGAACAAATCGTGATAAAATCTTTTTCTGAAATTTCGTCGACGACATTTTATAATCATATTATCAGCACCACATCAAAACAACGAATTTGCAAAATTATTTTTTCAAAAACGCCTATTTTTAAAGGTTTCACAGGTGTTTGGTTTTTCATAAAAATGGAATTATGATTTGTACATAATAATTTTATATACATCTTAAAGAATTTGAATATCTTTATTTTGGTATACTATAAAAAGCGCAAAGGGAATCAGTTAAGTTAAATCTGCAAAATTTTGCAAATTCGTGATTTTGGTCTTTTGCTAACAGAAGAAATAAAGAACAAAAAGAAATGAAAAGCAGTTATTTTTAACTTTAACTAACTCATTTCTATAAAAAAAAACTCATTTGCAATGACTATGAAAATTTAGAAATTGTCGGATTAATCTAAAAATTAAATTTCATTTACCACTTTTTATTCAGCCTTTTTTTATTTACCGCCTTCTTTTAGCCATGTTTTGAAACATAGTTGAATACTGGTTCTTCAAAATTGGTTTTACTTAACTGCAAATCTTAGCAGAAATTAAAATTTAATCAAATATTCCACATTGATTTCTCCTGCAAAATCCAGCCACAAAGTTCATTTTGAGGAAGTAATTTCTTGCGTCACTGCATGTATAAAGACTGTTATTATTTTTAAAAAAATGTTATATAGAAATGTGAAACTGGCTAAAAATTGTCTTATAATATGGAATATAAATACGAATAATATGATGTCTTCAAGGACTTAGATCTTTAGAAAATAAACATTATTTTATGAATGCGACAAAAAGTAATGGAACTAAACAAGTCGTGATAAAATATCTTTCTTGAAATTTCTGAAATATGATGACTTTTTTTTTTGTGTGTGTTTTATTATTATTATTATTATTATTTTATTTTTTTTAGATCAGGAACAGTTTCAATTCATTGTATTATGCAACCATTATGTATTCTTATCTTTTAATAACATTGCAGAACTATGAAATACTATTTATGTCTAGACTTTAGGGGTAACTGATATTGTTTTGGTGTTGTATCATCAGGGTTCTTAATTCTTATTGATTATATCATACTTTTGAAGTACTTCATCGAAAGCAATGTATAAAATTTAATATACCGAGATACTTTACAGATACATTTACAGTGTTGTTCAACGATGAATGTGTCCACTTAAGTATTTGAACTGAATATTTCCTAAATGCTTTAAAAATATTAATCCTATAAAAATGGTATTATGAGTAAGAAATACTAAAAAAATAAAGAAATACGAAAATAAATTACTAACTCTGTTAAAGATATCAAACTCCAGAAGTTTAATTTTGTTCTGCAGTAAAATCTTTAGTTTCGTGTGTTGGCAACAATAGATATTTTTATTTACGAAAAAAAGCGTTCCATGAATTTCTAAGATAACTTGTATTTGACTTATATATTATATATTATTTAATATATTTTTATATATTATTGAATATATTGGTTATTAGTAAGCATTAAATTTGTAATTTTCATAGAATATTAATACACGTTTGCAGGAAATGTTATGTCATAGCATAAATGTGATAAATATAAAATATATTTCTAGTAATCCACAAAAGCTATACTGCAAAATGTGTTACTGTTTTCTTCTTTACACCAATTTTCTTCTCCCAAAATAAAATCAAATTGTGATGATAAAATATTTTAATAGCACGTAAATTATAATTTTTCTTATATGCTCTTTATTTTAAGTTTTTCAAAGTCTGTTAGAAATTGAAAAACTTCTTTAATGTTTTAAAATTTAAAAGATATTTTATAATAATATCTTCTAAATCTATCCTGTTAATACATTTTACATTAAAAAGGAAATGTAGAAACAACTGTTATTTTAAGCAACATGTTTATGTTAAACAAACAAAAAGTGCACACACACACACACACACATATATATATATACCCCTAAAAAAACGTCAGTTCAAGTTTAAGGAACGGATTAGAATTGAAGCTCAATGTTAATTTTATTTAGAAGTCAAGATTTAATACTTCGATTTCATAACAGCAGATGTTATTTTTTGGGAAAAGAATCAAAATAGTTTTATGATTGTTATATTTTCTAAATAAAAAAATAATAATGGTAACGCTTGGATTTGTTAATTTTAAAGTTTAGCCTAGAAATGTCATCTCTTTGATTTCACTTGAAAGAAAGCCTTTATACGAGTTTATAATAATTTTTGTATACTATGTGTATTTTCATTCATTATTATACATTTTGGTATTAAATATTTTTGAATCCAAGTACACATGCTTGGTCTGCAGGACGGTTCATGTATTGAGTTTGGGGATAAGATACGTGAAAAATACATCAAATCATAATTTTCTACTGTTATCGTATTTAAAGGGTAATGTTCACTGATAAAAGTAAATGAGAAACACATATTTCAAAACTTGAAAGATTGCGACAAAGACTCAAATATTTTTTATCTACAGTCTATTTTTTACAGCAAATGTTTACATCGATACTTTGATGTAATTCGTTATCTCTTACAATGTTTTCACAGTCTTTGATATTTACTCCCATAATTAATCTATGCTACACCAATTTTTCATTCTTTGTTACATTCGTAGAATTTGTTTATTTTTTTCTTGTCCGAATCAGTAAGAGTTCCAACAGTTTTCGCGCGACCGAGGTCCTTGAGTCTGACACTTGTACTTTTTGGCTTCATAGTAGGCAGTTTTGGTGCTTTGGAAAAGGTATAGGCATTATAATGCATAACGGATTGATAGTCGTATGCAAAATCGATGAAACTCCAGGAATCTGGAATACGTTTGGCAAAATTCACTTGCTTTTCTGCAATAAAAATGTGTAAACTTTAAGCTTATGATCGGCTTAGAAATCTGAAACACAAAAAATAGTTAAGAGCACAATATGATCCTCTGAATGCTACACCGAAAGGAAGAAAAGTGAGTGCAGCAGAAAAGTTTACATCTCGATTCCATAGCAAAATAGTTACATAGTTACATCTTGAAATTTTGCTTTCAATAAATCACCGTTTGGTGACATCATCTCTGAAAATTTATCTCAAATTATCATGAAATTAAGTCAAACAGTTACCCTCTTCTTAAAGCTATTTACATGTTAATAATGGTATTACATAAGAAATTTTTCCAAACTCCAGTATGAAAATTTTCCACTCATACACAACAAATATTCCGAACATAACCCAATCTATCTATATACCGAAAGTTAAGATATTCTCCGAAAATTCACTTAAAATGGAAAACCGGTCTTTAAGCCGAATTCAGAACTGTCCTATAAAACAAACTATACAGAATGCTTCTAAATTAATATAAAAAACTTTTAGAGGGTGATAAAAAACACCGAAACAAGCAGTTTCAGCACAAAATGTTGAGTTTTAAGTGCAATCGTTATGCGCTAAAGGCGCGTAAATAAGATCGAAAATTTCATTAATAATAATAAAACGAGATTTTTGTATTGAAACAATCAATTGCTAATTTCCCTGATTTCTTAATAATTTTTAAAAAATGCTTAATTAAAAAAAAAAAAAAAAAAAAAAAAAAAAAAGAAGAAAAATTCAATGCCGGATAGAGAGAGACGCATGGTTTCTTGAAACACATATAGCCATTGCATCGTTTTCTTATAAAAGAATGTTATTACCGTTTATTTGTCATCATTCAAGCATTGCTTCATGTTTTGCGACTGTCATTTTTTTTTGTTTGAATCGGATTTTATATGTGTGGGCCAAAAATAATACAAGCCCTATATAGCTTAAAAATTTTACCCCTTGGTTTCGTACATTCTCTTGTGAAAAGTTTTTGTTTTGGTGTGTTCTAACACCTAAGTTTTTCTTGTATGAATTTAAAAACACTCTATATCGCCAATCAGCAATAATATAATAATTTGTGATTAAATTATTTGCAAATCACTTTGAATTCCTTTCTAAGGCAATATCTAGACTTCAATAGTAAAATCACTGCTAAAAATTCTTATCAGATGTACTGTGAAATGTGTAATATTTATATATTGAAACTAATCCAGAAACACAATGAAATGGAATTATAGCAATGGTTCTCTTTCATTTTTCCCCATTCAGTCCTTTCACAATTGATAGACCTTTCCAAAACTTGGAAAATACATGTATATTTATTTAAATTTAGATTATATTTTAATGTGTTTTATATATTAGACACGAAAAAGTGTAGAAAATGTTTAAAATACCAAAACTTGAATAAAAGTTTTTTTTTATATTCTTAAACTAAATATTTAACAGGTAAATAAAAGGCTGACCGCATTCCCCCATGAAACGAAGAACTTCTTACCCCCTTGATTGAGAAACCCTGGATTATAGCTTAATTAAAGCAGCAGCATGTTTGGCAGTTTTATTGCATTCCCCTTTTCGGCTGTAACTATATGAAAAGTACACATTTATTAGTCATTTATTAATTGGAGCAGAGAATGACAAGAAAGTAAAATTGCCGAATCCGCTTCTACTTAAATTAATCCGCATGTGAACTTATTCATATTTCATTGTATTTCTGGGTTTTACGAATTTTAATTTTACTTACTTCATGTCAATTTTATCAACAGTTATATAATTATATATAACAAGATGTAGAATTAAACTATAAAAAAGCACTGCTAAATCAAATATGATCTTTAAAATGGCTTCCGTCGCGAATGTTAAAAGATTTAGTAAAAAATATAATAAAATGCTGGAGAATAGCTTCTATAGTTGGATTCTTTCTTTTAAAGCATAAAAATAGGCACGAAACGAAAGAAAACGACTATAAAATAAGAAAACGAAAAAGAATGAAAAAAACCAGTGCAAAAATAAAAAATATATAAAATAGAAAAATAAAAATAATTAAAAAAGTGTTAATTCTTACCAGTTTAATATGCAAGTGCATTTTAAAATATTGTTAGAAAAAGGTACTGGACAGTTAGGTAAAATTTATCATTTGAGTCCTATTAACAACAATATTTAATATACCTTTTTTAAACCGAAACTACTACAAGATTTGCTCTTCCCGACCAGAAATCTTTCAGCGTGGGACGTCTCTGATTTATAAAATCTGCTTAAAAGTAGTTCTTTCCAACCCCCTTTTGTGTCTTCGTTTCTTCTACTTCTACAAGTCAAGTGACTTCATTGAACTCCAGCGTTATAAAAAGCATAAACTTTTATGGCTGCTGACATTGATTTAAACTATTAGCGACTTTCATCTGATTGTCAAGTCTTTTAACAATTATTTGTACCTACCTTCACTGAGGTTATTCCAAAGAATTTCAATGTAGTCATCTCTATCTGAGCGCGAATGCTCGTGCCAGAAACCTAGAGCATGCATGAATTCATGTATGACAGTCCCCTTGTTGATGCAATTGGGAACCACCAGAGATAATGTCTGTTCCATGCCTTTGTGGCCTATGTAGGACCAACACCTACACTTAGAAAATAAAATAATGAATTAATTTGATTAAATTTTGAAAACCGCAGCCTCATAGAATTATGGACCCATTTACATTAATCAATAGTAAAATATATTTCATTAAAATGTTTAGCATTTACATAACTAGTTATAAAGTTTCCAGTTTTTTTTGGCAACAGATAGCCACTTTACCATTTTTTAGTTTCCGGCGGGAAATGAATAGCTGTGACCTTCAAAATAAAGTCGAAATAGTTCCAGATGAGTTCAAACGAGCCAATTTTTAACACCATTCCTGTTATTGTTTATATTTATCGATGCGTCATTTCCATTAAATGCTGTCTTTATTGATATAACTTCATTCCATAGACATAAACTCATTCTCAAACGCTGAGATCAATAAAAAATTTGGATAGCCTAATATTCATTATAGAGGTGCAGTGGTACCTCGGTCTACGGCATTAACCTGTTCTAAATTCTCGGACAAATACAAACGAACTTTTCCAGTAAGACACAAAGAGAAAATAATTAAACCGTTCTTATAAAAAAAATGTCCTATTATTATCATAATACCGTTTAGTGATAAAGTAGAAATACAGCAGGTGAAATCAATTTCACCCCCTTCGCAACGTAGACACCATCGTAATTGGCATTCAGTATGCAATAGCCAAGTCCCGGATACGCATGTCATCTTCATACTTTACAACAATCTCCTCTTGTCACCTCCATAGTAATCCTAGTAATTTTCTTCGTTACTTCGCATTAACTTTCTTAAAACTATCAGTTAATAAATACGAAAACACACACACACAAAATCACTTGAAACTCCAAGAACGTATATTTTATATTTTTTCCACTGGCAGGCCTTTAGTCGACTTAGGCTTGGTCACTACAAAGGCCGGAAGTGATGGAAGCGCCTATTAGGTGGGCTATTGTTACCTCCTATGAAAGGACGGACAATTACAGCCATGCCTTCTCCAAATTCTAACTCGCGTTCTTCGGTATCGCAGCAGACTCCCTGGCAGTTGGATGTATATAAAAGCAGAAGTATGCCGTTGTACCACTGTATATACGAGTAATTTATAGGTATATACGAGTAATATATAAAATCGCATTTATAGAAGTACCGCAAAAAATGTACCAAGAAAACAAAGTGCAATATCTGTTACATACAACAAAACGCTCGAAGTTGTTTATACAAGGTTTAGAAAACACGCGTTAATACAAGATATCAGCGTTTAGCGTTTACATAACTAATTATAAGTTTCCAGTTTTTTTTTTTTTTCAACAGATAGCTTCTCTAGCCACTCTAGCGAAAATGGTGGGAAGACTGAACATACACAATTAACAAAGAATTATATAAAATTAGCAAGGATTTCGAAAGTGGAAGATCAATACTGGCGAGCAATCTCGAAGTGTGGTTCAAGTATCAATTAAGGCGCAATGAAGCGATTCATGGAATATCGACCGTTCTGGATACTGCGATTCTGTTCACGATAATTATTAGTATGCCCGAAAGCGTTTGCAACGAATAATAGAAGCTTAAGTAATGACGCATTTGCTCCATAAGACTCAGTTAATTAAAATAGCAAAGTAGCAAAAACTAAGAACCAGATTTCGAGACATTTTCTCTTTGCTAGTTAAAAAAATGTAGAAAAAATCTAAAAAATACTTTAAAAGCATGACAAAAATTTCAGAACAAATTCCCCAATGATTAAATTTTCCTATTCGAATTCTTCTACTTCTTTCTAATAATAATAAAAAAAAAACACATAGAGTTATTTGAAACTAATTAGTTATTACGATTTATATCTTTACTATCACCTCTCCTTTCCGTTTCCTTATCAGAATGTAAATTGAGACAGATAGTATTTAAGCTGAGGTTTTGGGATAGTAAGACAGAGCTTGTTTCTGCCCCTCGTGACCACATTTGCGTAATTCTACCAACTCTCATAAGTTTATAATTCTTCGGCTTTACATTATTACTGCCGATGTTTAAATTGATATTGCAGTTGATTTAGCTTAGATTTATATAAAATGGTTAGTTTTTAATTGCTAGTCAACGTTTTAAAATTGAATTTGACTGTTATTTTAGATACATCGTTACAAGTGGTGGTTGATACTGTTAGCAAAAGAAATGCATTTATTTACAAAGGTTATGTTTGAATAAAACGGTAATTTTAAAGCGATAATTCGCTTTAGGTGTGTTAAGGATTAGAAACGATAGCATTTGGGATGGTGTCTTCCGAACAAAAGTACGCATCATGTCACAAGAAAAAAAAAAAAAAAAAAAAAAAAAAAAAAAAAAAAACAACTTTTAGTCAACCCCATCTCAAGATCGCAAGCTCTGCTGGCGCCACGAACTCCCACGGAAGGTTTTTTATCCATCGTTAGATGCGATGCGAGTGTCATGAAAACTGCAGCTATTTTTGCTAGCAGAAGTTCGGTAATGATCTTTTTGGAACAACTTGATTCATATTTTTCTTTTTATTGGGTTGGAGAAATACAGAAAGTCACCATAGCAACAGCCGCACTGGGGGTACAAAGGAATTGGTAAGTTTTAATTAGGCGAGTCATGCAGCGAGAGTTATAAGTCTGAAAGTGTTTACAACCACCTGCGTAAAAGGATTTTCCATGGTGAAAGATAGGGCGAAATTAGAAGCAGAACTGTTTTTAGTAGATACTAAACTAAGGTTGAAGAACTGACTGAGTTAATTCTGACTGACTGAGTTTGTTATATTTAGAAAAATAAAAGTTGTAAATTTATTGTATGGGGGGAAAAAAAAACCTATGAAGAGGTTATACAAATTATTCTGCCTATATTTCTACCCCAAATTCAGGACTTTTTGAATTGCGAAACCCGAGCACACTCAAACAATTATTTTAGCTTGCAGGGGTAGGGTGAATTTTGAAAAATATCTCCCGTTAGGGTTAGGATATTTATTAGATTTATATATAGCATTGTTCTAATATCGATATTTTGACATATTTCTTGAAATGACATGCCAAACTTTTTCCATATTTCGATTCTACGACTCGCATTAGTCGAGCTTTCGAGACATGAAAAACACAATTTGAATTTTGTCAATCGACCCAGTAGAACGGGAGTTATAGAATTATCCCAACTTTTTTTTTTCGTAAAGGGATACAGCCAGAGGTCGAGTGGATATTTTCATAGCCCTAGAGTTCAAGTGAGCCCACGGTCTGACGGCGGTAGAAAATGTTTTCGAAAGACCCTAGAAAGAGTGTGTTAAAGGAACGAAAGTTATTGCCCCTCCCCCTCAAGGCAAACAGTGAATTCATGGGAAAAGTCATATTACAGGTACATCAAGAAACTAAGAACCAGATTTTTTTTTGTGTGTGTGTGTGTGTGTGTGTGTGTGGAAAACCTGCTGGTGAAGGTAATTTTGAGAACGGATTTTTAAAAGCTGCGAGGGCGAAAATCAATTTTCGGAAAGCTACAGTGCAAATAGATATGAATAAGGTGAAAGAAAAATAAGCCTGCCTAGGAAATGAAAGCGGATCAAAAGCTGAAGCTGAAATAGTAGGTAAGGAAATGCTCAAAGTGGCACTAGAATTGGTTTGAGAAATTGTTTAATGATATTAATATAAATTAGTACACAAAAGAAAGAAGTAATATTAGAACGTATATGCTAGACAAGGTTATCTTGTAGGTTGAAACAAGTGTCCAGCGGTCAACGAGACGAGGGATACCCAGGATGAAGAAACTCAAAGATTGGTTGCGGAACCAATTTTCAACGGCAACTTGGACCTTATTATCATCGTCGGCAAATCTCCGTCCCTTTAGAGATTTCTTGAGTGGGTCGAAGATGGGGTAGTCACACGACGAGAGGTCCGAGCTGTAAGGGGAATTTTCGAGAACCTCCTAGTGGAATTTCCGTAACAATGTCCGAGCTGTAATGGCACGCTACAGCCTCATGAGGACGAGAATTATCATACAAGAGGATAACCCCGCGAGACAGCATGCCACGTCGGCGGTGCTTTATATTCCGTCTCAGTTTCTGCAATGTGGCATAGTACGTGGCAGCAATGACAGTCGTGCCCACAGGTAGTCATTTCAACAATAGTGGGTCATCGACGTCAAAGAAGCACGTTAACATGTCACGTGAACATGACACGTTAACATACCAGCTGTAGTGGGCGCGTGAGCCTTTTTTCGGGCGTGGGGATGAAGAGTGTCGCTGTTTCATGCTCATGATTTTGGTGGCTGGATCAAAATGATGGCAGCATGTTTCATCAGCGGCAATGATCTCTGAAAGAAGTTGGTTCCCCATTTCGTGGTACCGCATAAGGGGTCTCATGGAAACAGACATGCGATGAATCTTCTGCTCCTCTGTCAAATGTTTTGGCACCCACTGCGCACAAACAAACATGCACTCAATACTGAGTGAAAGGTTGCGGTATCGCCACCTTTCACTCAGTATTGAGTGCACACTTCCTTATGTTCATAGGTATTTTCTCCGTTATGTCTCGAGCAGTGATTCGCCGATTCATTTTCACAAGACTGTCCACATCTGCAACTGCTTCCTTGGGTGATCACCACATGCGCTTCACAGGGACGTGGCTACATGCGCTTCACCGGGTCGTCAGTACTCCTTTTTCTACTACGAAAATCTCTACACTATCGGAATACCGATCTGCGTTTCATACATTACATGCCATACACATTTTGTATTCGACAATAGATTTCAGAAGCACTCACATTTTACGCTGTTAAAAATTGCTCGAACGCGCGTTGACACCGTTTGGAGACATCCATGATGCGAATGATGCCTTTTAATGAGATCCGATGCTATCATACACGCATCTGGCGATATTGCGTGCACTCCAGCACCCTGCGCCCTCTATAGGTGCATGCGCAGTCATCTTTCTCTTCAAATGGTGGGGTTATAACAGCAATGTAACTTTCATTTGAACGGAGTTATTACAGCAATGCAACTTTCATCTCATTTCATTCATCATATATAACGAGTCTATATCTCGTCTCTGGATACTTTCAGTTATGTGTGAAATCAGAGGATGTGCTCAAAATCGCGTTTATCGGTAATGTTCTAAACGTTTCCAAAACTTTGTAGTTAATTTCAGACACAGCGATAATTCACTTTCGGTCTGTTAGAAATTTGAAATATGAAATATTAATATGAAATTTCTACACTTCTTAATTTAGGAGTTTCGCAGTTTCATTATGCAAATAATTCCAAAAGGTCATATTTCGTCAAATTCCAGGCATAATTTGAAGTTAATATAGCAAATTCAGTGGAAGAAAAATTGAAATTAAAAAGACAAAATAATGCTTGCAAATTAGAAAATTTTAATGTATACTTACCCTCCGAGTGGTGTAACAAAAATGTAATCCCTTTCATTCGTTCTTGGAACGAATTTGATGCAAGTATACTTTTCAATTTCCTTCAAACCTTCGAGGATAGTATATTTGTCGTACAAATCTAAAAATAGATGTTTAATTAAGGGCAATATTTATCACAAGTTTTCTGAATTTTCTTTTTGAAGTTTTCAGAATCATTGAAATGAAACTATCTCCTTTAATTTAGTATGCCAATGGCTTTTTGATACATTACATTTTAGCTTGTCTTTTTTCAGTTCACAAGTAGATCAGTAATAAATATCATATAAATGTATTTTTCAATTATAAATATATTTCTTACTGATAACGGCTACTGAATATCTAGTTAAATTAATTATGTATTTTAGAATACCATAATAAAGATTATTATCATTTTTTGAATAATATTTTAAAGATTTGATCTATCTTAAAATAATTCCTCCTAATAGATCGCCAAATGTGTGCTAGTCGCCAAATGTGAAAGCATGTCATAAATAGCAGTGCAATGTTTAATGGGCGCAATGCCACGGCAACGCATGGCAACGCGAACATTAAGCATTACATACATTAAATTATATATGCAATTGTTATATTGTTACAAGGTCATTTCTACTTTACTCGTCATTAGGGTTGCCACTATTTAGTTAGATTTCGCACTGCCTTCTATGTTTGCCGCTAAGAGAAGCCCCATTAATAGAAAAGTACTCATTTCTTAATCATTCTTAATTTTATAAGCATCTTCAGATTAAAAGAAAATGGAATCTTACTGTATGCTGTTTCATTGAGCTTATAAGGCACTCTACCAGCCGGCCAACGCTTCAGTTTCATATCCACAATTGGTCCATGACGATCCTTTAAACAAATAATTAAAAAAATGAGGAAGCATCTTTCATATTGGACATTAAATCCTAAACTCAGTAAAATGCAGCAGTTTTTTTAAGTTTTCAGATTCAGAAACAAATGTTTTAAGTTCTAAGCGATATTACAGTGGTGGCCAAAATTGTGGACTCTTTTTGAAATTTTTATGTGTTTGAACTTTGTATGCTTATAGAAAATGTTACGTTTCGCAAAATGCAAACTTGTATATATAATTTTAAAGAGAATTTATTACTGAATTCATACAAAACACAAAAATTCAATTATTTGCAATACAAAAAAGTTATATGTACTTTAATATAAATAAAAAACACAGTTATGAAGTGGTTTGTAATGTCTAGCTTTCCTGGCCAATCACTGTTCTTGTTCTGAGAACCAATTAAATGTTAGTAACTGCCAGTAGAAGCTGACATCATGTTTACACTTGAAACAATTCATTATTTTGCTTTTCTCTGTAGAAGGAGAACCTGTTTCTTATATACGGCAATTACAAGCAGGAATTTTCGTAAAATTTTTAATGTTTAGTCAAGAAGCAATGACATCAAATAAAAGAGTAAATTGGACACCTAGAAAGAGATGTAATATTATTGTGTTACGAGAAAGTGGTCTTTCCTATGCTGAAATTGCAAGACAGGTGGGTGGTTCAGTGACTACATCTGGAGTCCGAAAGTTTTGTTTACGATATCAGGAGACAAATTCAATAAGAAACAAAGAAGGAAAAGGCCGAAAAAGGTGCACCACATCTATTGATGACAGAAGAATAAAAAGACTATGTCTCCAAGATAGAAAAATGTCATCAGCGGCATCAGAAGTGATCTGATGTTGTTGTTTCTATCAGTTCAAGAACAATCAGGAGAAGATTAACAGATGTTGGACTGAGAGGTAGAATTCCACGAAAAAATCCTTATCTTAATTTTCAGCAACGAAAAAAAAAAAAAAAAAAAAAAAAAAAAAAAAAAAAAAAAAAAAAGACTACAGTGGGCAAAGGAACACATTAATTGGACAGATGATCAGTGGTCACAAGTTATATGAAGTGATAAAACTAAGATATCGTTATTCGGTAGTGATGGGCGAAAATATGTAAGACGTAGAATAGGAGAAGAGCTACATCCTGACTGCATTCAAGCAACTGTGAAGAACCCAGTTAGTGTTATGATTTGGTCATGCATGGTAGCAAATGGTATTGGTCGCCTTCATGTCATCGATGGGACTCTGAAAAAATATATTGGCACTATTCTAGAACCAAAACTTCTACCTTCCATCAGAGATCTCTTTCCCAACAATACTTCGTTTATTTTTCAGCAGGATTCTGCTCCTTGCCGCACGACCAAAATATCGAAAGAGTGGTTTCGTACAAAGAGCATTAAATTGTTCTCATGGCTAGGAAACAGTCCTGACCTCAATCCTATCGAAAATTTGTGGCACCGTTTGAAAACTCTTGTCCGAATGAGGCGCCCATCAAATAAATGGGCTATAATCGAGGCTATAATTGTTTCCTGGCATCATGTAATAACGAAAAAAGAGCTTAAAACTCTTGTCAGCTCAATGAAACGTCGATGTGAAGCGGTAATCAAAAATAAAGGGTACCCTACTAAGTACTGATAACTCACTGCAATCATCACTATCTAATGTATATCGATAACTATTATCGTTTAACTTTTTTTGTATACCAAATAATTGAGTTTTGTGTTTTGTATTGAATTCAGTAATAAATTCTCTTTAAAATGATATATACAAGTTTGCATTTTGTGAAACGTAACGTTTTCTATAAGCATACAAAGTTCAAAAACATAAAAATTTCCAAAAGTGTCCCAGATTGTTTAATATGTTTCTATTGTATCAAATGTCCGCTACTTAGGTATTTTCCCGTCGACGTGAAAAACGCCTTTCACCGATCACAAAAGTCAGAAAATGTCCCTTTAAATTTTGCACAAATCATTCCGTCTGAATTTTGAAAGAACAGATAGCTCTTTATTTATTTAGATAATCATAGATCCCTATTTAATTCATAATCAAATATAAACTACACAAAAGTTACAAATTACGGATGCAGGATATAAAAAATATAAATGAGAGCTCAAACTTTGAGATTATCTGACAAATAAGTGGGTTGGCTGCAGGGGCGTTTTCGGGGTTTTCCTCATGCGTAACGTCTATACGAACAAGTTGCTTTTAGAAAGTCCTTCGTGAAAGCATCCCTCCCTTTAGGCAGATAGCCTTTGAGTGCTTTGTCATAATCAAATAAACCAAAACAAAACTGACAAATTTACTATAACTTGCTCATTCCGGTGACCCAAATTCCTAGTGGCATGCATAGTCACAAAGCCTACAGACCATTTCTGCTACGGTCTGCTCTCATTGAATGAAACATCTGCTTGTCGGTCATATTTGGAATGGCGAGTTATCGCCTCGTAGGAGCGGTAATTAACGCCAAACAAACCTTATAGGCTTTCAGTACAGCGAGGAGAAACAGCTTTTGTTTCATTCGATAATTTTTTATTTTATGAATGAAATATATTTTAAATAAACTACTGATCTTATTAATAGTATTTGATAGTGATCTTATTAATAGTATTGATAGTGATCTTATTAATAGTATTTGAATTCAAACTGTTAAAAGTGCGATATCAAATACTATTAATAAGTTTTCTTGTTTTGCAAGAATAAAGTGTTTACAATCAATATTTACAATCAATACAATCAATCAATTCAATAAACATTTAAGGGCGTCGGATACCTATTCTTTTAACCTAAATTATGAGTAAGTATAACTAAAGTTATATTTTATTCCATTATGTGCTGTTTCTATGGAAGCGCTTTTCGGAATCTTGGATCATAATCTTGCTACTGGTACCTACTACAAAGAGTACGAACCAGTAGATAAAATTAAGAAAAATTGGTATTAATAAAAATAGAGAAAATCAAGGTGTTAAATTTTTATCACCGCACCCGAAGGCAAAAAGACCAATAATGACAAAGTCATTCAATAAAGGGAAAATAAAAACAAATCCGCTTCAGGGCAGAGTTCGTTAAAAGTTCAAGAGCAAGGATAGAACCGGCGATCTAGAAGTCCGAGAATGTTTTTTCCATCCTCGTTACCGTTGATCTGCGATTTTGCCGTTGGCTTTCCCGCACTTTTCCGTACACAAGGCTGATATACAAATAGTATAGGCGATGAAGTAAAAGTCGCCAAGTACAAGATCCTGTAACCCCACATTTCCTGTTTTAACCAATCGGAGCAAAGAGTAGCAGAAACGGTCTGTAGGCTTTGTGAATATGCTAGTGGCATTTAAAATTTTAACATAATAGACTGTTTTCGAAACTCAATGACTCATTGTCATTTTGCGGAGTAGCAGAGTCTTTCAATGTTTTCATTTATGCTCACCAACACAGAGATCTGCAAAATTATATTCGTGGTTAACTTTAAAATATTCAAATCCTGCAGCTTGTAACTCATCAAGATTATAAGCCTTCCAAAGGTCCGAAACAGTTATAGATAAAACTTGAAGCGGGTCGCATACTTTCACATTGACTTATACAGAATTAATCGTGTTTACCTGAAACCAAAGAGAAGAGCATGTGAGTGTATTTCCAACTGTAGGATATTTGACTCCTGGTGCAATCTATGCAGCTCCTAAATTCTGCCGCAATTATTCTCTGTTTTGAAGTTGAGGATGGCAACGATTTGTAGATCAATTTAAAATGGAATCCTAAATTTCTAAACCTTTATTTTGGAAGGCAGATAAGATATTATTTTTATTTATTTAAAATTGTGAACTTTAAGATTCCAATAATGTATTCCATAGAAATGTTGTAAGACTTATTATTATAATCTAATTTTATGATTTGCATTCTGTGAACAGTTTTGATGTTAGTTTTAAGATATTATGAGATAATTGAGTTCTAAGGCATGAGTTGCTAAATTCAGCTCTTGTTTATTTCAGGGATTCTCAACCGGTGGTACGCAAGAGAAAAATAGTTGGTACGAAAAATATTTTTAAATAGTAAATTCAAAAATCTCGTGAACAAAAAAAAAAAAAAAAAAAAAAAAAAAAAAAAAAAACAAGAGATAGACATTTTCTGCGATCGAACTCTAACTGAAGATTAGAATTAGCACACTTGTTAACTTTTAGCTAAACAGAAAAGAAAATAATTTACAGGCATTTCAAGCAAAGCTATTAATCACGCCCAAATTTCACACTAAATTTTAGAATTAAATTATTATAACTTAAATTTTGATAGTAAAATGGAAATCTATTTTTAATCTAGTATTTTTTATGTGTTCAAATTTAATATAAATAGCCAATAGGTTGTTCAAATGGCAAAATACTATTTTTGTAATATTTCTATTGATGAATTTTATTGATAAATATCGATGAATTTCTGTATTTTTAATATTTCTATTTCAATTTCTATGAGAAACTGAAAAATAATCATTGCGAAATGTAATATTGGTACCAAAGTTTTCCAGTTTTTGTTTAGATGGTACGTGTTAGTCAAAAGGTTGAGAACCGCTGGTTTACTTTGTTTATTGTTACTTTTGCTACTATTCCTAGCGTCAGCAGGTGCATAAGCATCTTGGTTAATATAGTTCAGAAAGGTGAAGAGAAACATATTGGCGAAGGACAAAGAAGAGCGAAGAGGAAAAACAATATATGTGTCTTGGATGTATAGCTGAAGGTATTCTAAAACTAAATTATTTAGTAAAATAAACACTTGAAAAAAAAACTTAAATAGTAGATTTTCTTTTTAAATGTTTTTGTTCTTTTCCTTTTTGTTGTTGTTATTTTGAATTATTAAAAATTAATTATAACCTCGACACAAGTTGAGATTATATATATATATATATAAAAAAAAAAAAAAAAAAAAAAAAAAAAAAAGTTAAGCTTCAAAATATGCCTATGTACGTAAAATAAATTGTCAATAAAATAAATTGTACGTAAAATATATATTCAAAATATGCTTATGTACGTAAAATAAATATGTATGAAAATAAATTGTCATTTTGATTTTAAACCACAACAGATACACTGATCAATATTTACAAGTAATGTTTTCAAAAGTGAGAGTAATCAAAAGCAATCTGAAAGAGATCATTGAGGAGCCAAAAATTTTAGTTCTGTCTGTACAAAGAAATAACTTCAATATTTAGAATTGAAAACAAGTTTAGTTCTATCCATGCACTCGACCAGAGTTAACACCAATATTAATACGTCAAAAACGATTTCGAGAAAGATTAAGGAAGACTAAAAACAAAAGGTAAACGTTGCATAGGACACAGGTAAGATGGTTGGCCATTTAATTTAAAGCACTATTGGATTCGTTAGAGAATCGGAGGCTTGCTAGCATTTTTTTAAGACGTAAGAACTTATAAGTTACTTATTTCTTCCTCCTTTCCGTAAGAGGTCCAGGGTTCGTGCCCCGGCCAGGGCACTGCACATTTTTTCCCGTCTCTTTCATCAAAATAACCTATAGTCTTAAAATTATTTATAATGTAGGAAATACTGAAATTCAAGGAAAATGTTGGGAGACGAACAGCAGAAAAAAAAAGGGAACGTTTTTACATAATGCGAATACTTACCCAAGGATCTAAATAATCCTCGATCATAATATCTCCATCCAATAAATCTGAAAAGGAAAAGCTTTAGATGTAATCCATCATTCAGTAAAGTTGAAGAGTATTTCTTTTCAATTAGTGTAAATTCTAGTATAGATTTACAATATTTCAAATAATAGAGAACTATTGTATTTCCCGAATATAAGACGAAATATTTTCAAAGTTGTCTTCTGAAAATTATATTGTTCTGTGAGTCCATCAATCGAATGGATAATGCAACAGGCTGGCCGAAAAGTAAAAGCACTGTAGAAAATGCATAGTATGTAAACTGAACGTCGCCTTAAATATTTAATGTGACAATAGAAAATATTGCACATTATAAAGCATTATTATTAATAAAATATTGACAAAATATTATGCATTAATGTATTCAACATATGCGTTTATATAATATGTACTCAATCACCACACAAAGTGTTTCAATAAGTACTATTTATTCGTAAAAACTGCGGAAATAAAAATTGACTGCATTCTTTGTAACAGCTTAAAAAACTGTCAAATCTTTCTGATGTCAATGTTTAAGTTTTTGTGAAAATAATTTAGACGAGAAAGAGAGACATTTATTCATATACTATCCCTTTTATTCCGGAGATTTGGAACTGGAATAGATAAATTTGCTATTTGTAAATAAATGAGCGATAAATAGAATTTAGGAATTTTCTAGCCATAGCAGACATCTATATCTAGTTATAAATACAAGATGAATCAAAACGGAAACCGGGAATTTAGTGTGTTACTGCTTCATGACGAAGAAAGTAGAGTAACATAAATAGCGAGAAATAATTTTCAGTCATTTGTAATGTACATTAGTAAAATTCATAGAATATGTAGATTTCAAGAAATGCATGTATCTTATAAATTTTTTGTACTTCCATACTTCGTACTGTGTCAGATGTTTATTCTACAATTCAGCTTAGATAGACTACGTTTATTAAACAATTCAACTTCACTAGTCTTGACTAGTCACTTTCCTTCGTTGCCTAGTGAAAATCCCGAAGTAATTAAAAGAGGCTGCATCTCAGTTCAAAGAGCAGTAATCCAAATATTGGATAATCAATGAGTTTAATCTGTCTAAATTGACTCAATGAAAAATCAACAACTGGCGGATTAATTTATAGTTGCCTGTCATTTCCGTTCTGATTACCTGATCTAACAAAATGCAGTTTCTGTTTTTGAACTTATGTTAAGATGAGGTGTTTATGCCGGTCCAATATCGATATTTAATAGAACTGAAGTGTCTCATTTTCACAACTACGTACCATCTAGGTGGACGAAAATAAAAGGCTCATTATCACATCTATTATTTTTTTATTTTTTAAAATCAGATAACGTAGTAGAAACTGTATGCTAAATTGGATTATATAATAAAAATGTGGTACTTCACTGGGATGGGCATATGCGAGATATATTAGAAAATAACAAGAGTATTAGAAAATACCTTAAGTTCCCTTTTTTAATTATCCTTAACTGTATTTTACCTATTTCCTTTCGTTAATCTACAATAATGCATTTAAATTTCGAAGATTGCTTATGATTCACCTCCGAGTATGGATCTTTGTAAGGTACTGGTATAAATGTTTCTTTGTAAGCCAGCAGCAAAGCAATTTTTCGTAATGAAAACAAAATGGCTTAAATTTTTATCATTTTATCAAGTGACAAAATTTATCAAGGTATCCCACAGGAAGGACGGGTGAAAGGTAACTATTCTAATAAGACTGTAACGACGAAGGGTTGAAATGAAGCGTTACGATGGTGACTACCTCATCGTCTGTCGCGGTCTTCCTTTAGCCTGTCCGTCTTCGGAAAATAGAAGACACCTTACCACAGTTGAAGAATGGTTTATATGCAATAGATTCAATTGAGAATGATTTTGAATGGAATTACACTAACAAAACTCCACCAGAATGAATAACACAATTGTGATTGCAAATATTACACTATATGCATATTCTAAGATGTAGCGATTTCCTGTTGACACCTTACAGGAAACTATTGGTAGATTTTTATCTGCTGAAATCTGCTTAATCAGGCTGTATATTGTCCAGCTTACTACAGTATAAATATTTTAATTTAAGCCAGATATGTCACATTTATTCCTCTATTATAGCCAAGCTAATACTAGCCAAATTACCACCTCTATTTCCTTTTTTCTCACCGTCTGGAATGTCGTTCTTCCCATTCACCATTCATGTTTGCATGATACCTTTGGCCACGGTTCCTACACCGTCTGACGAGACAAATATCATTCACTGTTTGAAACAACAAATTCTGTAGCTATAGTCAAACTAGGAATTATGGTTTACTAATCTGATGCTTATGTTCTGAGCTCAAATGGTCTTTAGTGCTCCATGTGCAAGTAGGATATCCTTTTCCCCCTTTAACGTACCACTACAAGGCCGTTTTCCTTGAAAAGGGAAAGGATGAAATAGAAACGAGAAATAATGAGAGAAAATACCAAACCATCAATAAAAATGAATAAATGAAAGCCTGAAAAAAATGCGAGTGCATATAAAGTAAAACAATAGACGCTGAATATTCGAAATGAATAAAAGCTTAATTTTAAGAATAAAATGTTACAAATTGTTTAATATGGGTACATCCCGGGCAGAGGAGAAGCTCCACGAAATTGCTCACTAAAAAATAAAGTTTATTCTTAGTATAAGGAAAAATTCTAGAATTTAAAAATTAGTTCAGTTGACTATGAATTCAATTATAATCTCATCTGTTAACTGAATTGAATATGCACATTTATCATTTATTTGTTCATGAATATGAATGAATACAAAATGAAATTTTGCAGTTTTATGAAAAGCATAAACGCACGCAATCAAAAATTAAGAAAACTAGATTTAAATTTTTAATCTACTTCTGAGATCTTTGTTGTATAATAATAAATTCTCTCTCTAACAATTAGTTAAAAATCAAATAACTCTTTAACAGCTATCGATGTCTCTCTTTAACCTCACGTTTGATAGATTCCTTAAACTACTCCTTTATTTCGAATTTTGCACACTAGATGGCACCACGAAAAACACTAGATGGCACCAGGAATAGAGTACAGTTTCAAAAATGTGCTTTAATGACAAGATTTTATTATGTAAATTTTAACTTATATATAATGATGTCAAGAGTGCATAGATTCTTATCTAAATAGTTTTAATTAATAATACGTCTTCAAAACTTAACTAAATTAATATTCAAGAAATTTTAGGAATTTTTTAGTTTTAATTACTCAAGAAAGCTCTGTTTGCTGTTAAATTTCGGTTTTTCTTTAAACACGACATCCTTTACATTACAACATCCTTTACAGCTATACAAAAAATATTACAACTGTTTTGTATCTTGGAAACACGCTTTTTGATATTGTTTTGTGACTGATGGCATTTTTTTTTTTTTTTTTTTTACTGTACAGAATCTCTTCTTATAAACGAGAATAATGATGATATTTAATGAAGAAGGGAAGTTTTAAAGTAGTGTTAATTTAAGTCATTATTTCTGAGATATATAAATAAAGCAAAAATTTAAATTGATTTTCTTCTCGTTTTAATTATCAGTAAACTTATTGACAGCGTTCTAGTAACAAACATATCTTACATTATTCTTTTTGTGAGCAATACTGCATGTGTATGAAGTTTCCGTCTTAAACATTTCCAAGTATTATATTGCTAGTTTCAGTGAGGGAAATGGACCCTCTTCTTTGGAACTGCTCATTGAAAGGAATCTTAAAAAGTATTCTGTCCCATCAGCGGCCGAGAGGTAAAGCGGCGCTAGTAATTCGGTTCGCGGTTCGAATCCCGCGAACGAGCCAGCTGCACGGGCGATTTCGTGATTTTCGCCATGTGTAATGTATATGTGAGCCAATTTTCCCTTAGAAAGTCCTCCACGAAGGTGTCCCTTCCCTTGTACAGATAGCCCTGGAGTGCTTTGCCATAATCCAATAAACCAAACTTTAAAACAAATATTCCGCTAAGAAATTTAGCTGTAATTTTCTTTCTGTTTATTAAATTCAGTTTTTCAGAGTAGAAAACCGCATTCTCAATGTTAATTGTATCAAAATTACTGCATTTCCACTTTCAGTTCTTCAATGTTTATATGTTCAGGAGTAATTTCTTATTAATTAATTAATGAATTTTATCCTGCATGAATGGTTTTTAATTACAATCACACACAAATATAAATTTATTGCTAATATCTATTATTATCTACATAAGAGTATATCAGTAATTTTTCAATTCACATTTGCAACTAATCTATGCAAAAATCACAGTTAAAATATGTTCACGTTAAAAAGTTAAAAAGGCCTTAGTTCTTTCTGAACTCTGCTTATTAATCGCATTATTATCGAAAAATGTTGAAAATTTTTTTAATGGTTCAGTTGCAGTAATATTTCTATCTTCATTTTAAAAAAGTATGAAATTGTTACGCGTATTTTTAATCAAGTGTTTTATGCTTTATGTCGCATAATTATGTTACTATAGATATTGAACGTATGGGTGATTACATTGATTTGCTAACAAGACTTAAGTTATGTAGAACCCGCGTATAAGTCGATACCGCGTATAAGTCGACCCCCCCCCCCCCCCGACTTCGACATAAAAAATTCCTAGAAAATAAGAAACCCGCGTATAAGTCAACCCCCCACTTCCGAAATCGATCGAGAAACTTCGAAAAAATTTTTTTAAGTACTACATTTATTCAAAATCATCTGAGAAAAAAAAGTAAATATACGATAAAAAATACCTTGGTAAATAAACAAAATCGAAATCCTTCAACGTCCGATTCATGGTCAGATTCGCCAAACATTTCATAGAACTCTTCTGTCGTCATTGGCTCGTCATAATACATATTTTCAGTCTCGAACTCTGTATTGTTACAATCACTGCTAGAGCCTTCGTCGTCAATTTTACTTTCAAAAACAGCATCATCTTCCGTGCCGTCTAGTTCGTTGCTAATACAACATTTTTTAAATGATTTTATAATCATTTCAGAGGGTATTTCGTTCCAAGCATCT